TTAAGACTGTGGAAGCAGGGGCGCCTGGGTGGCTTAGTCATTAAGCATCTGCCTTCAGCTCAGGTCATGATCTCAGTCCTGGGATCCAGCCATCAGGCTCCCTGTTTGGGGAGGAAGACTGCTTCTCCCTCTCCCACTCCCCCTGCTTGTGTTCCCTCTCTTGCCGTCTCTCTCAAATAAATAAAATCTTAAATAAATAAAAAAATAAAAAGACTGTGGAAGCAGAAGGATATATAGTAGAAAATGACCTAATCTAATTCATCTTTAATCCTTTGTATGTAGCAAGAGAGTAAATGCTAATACATGCCTAACGTATGTATTCATGTATTGAAGAAATTCACACAGATGAACAGTGAGTGCTACAGCAAGTAATCAGGCCAATACCCACATTATAAGGATTTTAGGATTTTTAAAAATAAATTCAATTCACTTAAAATACTGTTACTTTTCAGAATACAGACTCAAATTCCAAGAAAGCACTTTTAATAAAATAAGGCACAATGTTTAATAAGGCAAAATGCACACAGAGGGTTAAAATAACATCACATTTTCTTGTATGTCCTGTGGGGGAAAAAGGAGGTATAGAATTGAAGTAGCTTAAATATTTTTTAAGAGCATTTACCATTACAAAGTAATACATAAATCTGATGCACTTAATTATATCTTGTCCTGAAAAGAAAATTTAATTGTTGAGTCACATTGCTGAATTACATTTATTGTTATCATTGTTTTAAATATCTATATACTTATATAGATATTCCTAATTCACAAGATTTCAAATACATAAAACCTAAGAAAAAATATAAATGAAAACTAAGAAATAAGACAATGAAATTTAGTAATTTGACTAAAGTAAAAATACATATATTTTAATATCCTTTGTTGATACTTTAAAGTCCCAAACTTTATAAAAAGTTAAAATACTGGTAACTTAAAATAATTCTCCCATATTTGTTTCTCATGAATACAAGTGGGCTCAGAAATGCAACAAACCCTAATTACGGACACGCAGGGCTCTCCATGATTGTACTGTTGTAAAGTGATTCTTGAAGTTAATGTTCCTTCTCAATAACACATAACATCACATCAATGTCAACTGTTTCATAAAGGAGTCTCTTAAAACATTAGTTGTAGACATAAGAATTAATCAGTTTAGTAATATTTTTGTAGTACCAGCAATAGCACTTTCAATCTTATCCCAGATTCTTCTAACCACAATGTAGAACAAAAGAGTTTTATTCAATTTATTCACAGCCAAAGTAAGTTCTGGTAAACGCACTTAGTCAACCTAACCATGGTTTTCTGGTACAATGGTATATAAATAACCTTCATTAAATTCATAAATTTTAGTATTTACTAGATTAAATACTACATTTTAGAATAGACTGACACTGATAAATCTCAGGTAAAAGTCTAGTAGCACCCAAATCAGTATTACCCTGTGAGTGTTCAATGTTTGTTGTTAGTGAACTATTATTTTCTACATCAATTCTTAGCAAATATGGACCAAGGAATGATAGAATAGAGATATTTACAAGTAAAATGTTAAAGCATAGCCCCTTGCAACCTAGTGTTACAAAGAAATCACTCACAAAATATCCTAGGCCTCACAGCAATAATACCTTTAAATCATGCTATTAGTATGAAGATGGTTGGGAACTGCTGTCATCTCTTAGTGGTAGCAGATAAATTTTCTTTTTAATATAAAAAAGAATATACCTTCTCACTGATTTTATTTCAGGGGACTCTGATCCTTAGGACTTGACCTCCTGCAATAGTATGCATGATTGGGATTCCCTCTACAAAAGCCATAAAAGCCCTGTTTTAGGGGAAGGAATCCCTCAGGTCACTCAGTCTTTCTCCCTCAAGTCAAATGCAAAGGGTCATTACCCTGTCACAAATAACTTACTAAATGACACAGTTCCCCAGACTTTGGGTCTACAGTGGAGGATTTAAGGCACACACTTTCTGAGCATAAATGAAGACACTGCTGCCTTTAAAAACATCACAACTATAATTAAAATACAAAAGTGGATGTTATTAAGTTAAATTAATGTTATAAAAGAATAGTGCTTAATACAGAAAGTGACAGTCAAGTACTTTTCTCTACAAAAGGAATCAGAACTACGTATCACAGATCATGTTGCCTAAAAACATGCACATCAGCCTTTACTGTTAACACCCAGCACAACTTAAAAGCTGACTATTTTGGACTAAATAGGGAGTAATATTTATACTAACATAATAAAATACCTACTTTGGATAAGAAGTGAGGGGGTCATTTAAGTAAAAATGAGATATTTCTAAATAAATGCAGCTTAACTAATTATATACATGTTTTGTAACTGTTTTGCTTACAAAGGGTCTTATTATGTAGAATAACTTTTTATATAAATAAATACTGCTAAAATGTTTTAAAAGATCAAACTTTATTTGTACTAATTATTTGCTTAGTATTTTTTTTCTTTTTTACATAGTGACAAGGTAAACATTAACCAAGGCTGTAACACAAATTCCAGGTTAATGAGGTATTACTTTCAATCCCTTTGAAAAGAGCAAGGTTGGTGGTAAGAAAATCCTATTTCCTTGCTGGCCCATCATTATGGAAGGGAGTGGATAATCTTCCAGTAGCAGAAACCAAAAATATTTAGAGATAAAGGCTTTCAGGTGGTAAATAAGCCATGTGATTTTAAAACAATTTACTATTACTTTAAAGAACTTTCTTGGCTTAGGGATATATCTGGGTGTCTGGTGAGTCCTCTGTCCTGGCCCTTTGTTACTTTCAAAGATTTCTCTCATTTAATACTCCAGCAATCAGCCTTTTCCTTCTCTTCTTTTGCTAAAATTGATATCTACAATGGTATCATTTTGGCAGTTTGGCAGGATTGGTCTGCAGTATTACTCTGCTCTAGGCCTTTAACTTTTATTTACATGGACATAAAAATTTCTCAAATTTGAGTTACCGTTTATAATGCATATTTACTTTTACATTTGGTAATTTGAAGTTCCAAAGAGTTAAGAATTTCCAAATAAGAGACTCCTCTGGCACACATTGAGAAGTAAAATGCAAAATAACCCTCAGATCTTCCTCTGGTATTCAAATACAAGGAATCCTAAGAACCTTGACTAACTTGTCCTTAGGTCAGCCAATCCCTGGCACCAAGGAAGCAAGATATTGTTATCAGCTAATCTTATTTCCTAAAATCCTAGGACTATTCAAACTGAGTTGGTGACACTGAGAATCAGATTCTAGGAATAAAGATTACTAAGAATGTTCAACGTTACCCATTTCCATTTCAAATATTAACACTGAAGAATTCCATTCTAAACACATTAATGCTGTGGTTAAGTAGTTTTATCCACAGAAGTTCTGGTCACTAAAATTGTCCAATTGGAGCTTTATCAAAAATTTATTTCATTATGAAAATTAGTACAGATTCTTAAGTCTCAAAAATACAGTTTATTAACTAGTTTAAATATAAACATATGACTTAGCAACTAAAGAGATAGACTATCATTTCAATACATAGTCAGCTATATGATTTAGGAGTTGATTATCTGGTTTCTAAATTATCAAGTCCCTTGTATCTCATCTTCTAGCTAATTTCTATAATCACCAGTTATTTTAAAAAAGGGGGGTGAGTAGAGAAGAGAAACAGAGAAAATCTTAGAAATTATTAGCAGCTCTTCTAAAAGGTTAGGTCAAAAATTTTTAAAAAAGATAGAACTGACAACTGAAATGCAGATTTCAGTAAAAGTCACTAAAGACAGCGGCACACTGACCTTAGATTTTCAAATGTACATGTACAACAAACATGTTATTGTATATTATGGTATACATCTGCATATATAGCAAAGGCCAGAAAGTGTTTCTGGTTGGGCCTATTTACATCTGTAATAGGTCAATCAGTTTACTTTCTTTCTGGGAAGCTGGGAAACATTTAACTATACTTATATACCTACCCATTTATTTTACAAAGACTAACTCTTGGAAGATTATCCAAGCTAGTAAAGGATTAGGAAGTAAACTGAGGCATTTAAGCCAGAAAAATTTGGTCCTATCAATTTGGGTATTTTACTATGAATACATTATTTTCTACGAAAATATTTTATGTATTGCTATTGGGCTTCTCACTTAGGCACTGCCTAAGTTATCTTTTCCTTTCATAATTTCATATGCAGCTTGCTGTGTCTAAATGGAGAAGTAAACAAAGACTTTACATTACTTTCATTTTATGATCTAATCACCCATGTACTATTTTGCTAGGCAGCAGAAACATACTAGATTACCTATAGAGACCTAGAAAATTTCTCAAAAGGAAAAAATACTATTACATTCTAACAAGGTGAAGGGATTCACTTTATAGCAGCGTTTCACAACTGCAGTCATGAAACTCCATGATGTTTCATGAATAACACATAATAAACTCTGAACTATTCTACAATATATTTTCTTCTAAAGTAAAAAATACACAAAACAAAAACCTAACATATGTACATTATATTATCATACAACAATCTGCTTTTAAGAAATGTTGTGCCTTAGTTGTGAATGCCAGGAAGTCAGAAGGGAGAGCTTCTGATGTTCTAATGTGTTTCTGATCTACATTTTATTGTATAGGTAACATTTACCACTAAAAAAACATTTTATTGAGAAAAAAATAAAAACCCCAAAACCCCCATCATTTTATTATTGGTTATCTAATGACTGCTAGTATGTTTTGTGTATTTTATAATATCAAAATTATAATTCTACTATTCAATTTTTATTCCAAGTTAGCTAGTTAATAAAAATTTGGTCATTTCTAATAGCAATTAATTTGTGAAACATTTTCTGTCATACTTAAGGGATATATTTAAGAAGTTTTACATGTTATCAATACATTACTTTCAAAAAAGTATTCCATGGTTAAACTAGTTTTGGAAATTATTCTATTTCTTACAATTGAAAGACTGCCATAAAGTCTTTACACAAATAATGGCTGCCCACAATTTTATTTTCTAGTTTTTCTTTAAAACATAGAGAAAGTTACAGATCAGTACACACAGGCAAAGGAGTCAGACATGACTTAAAAATTTTAAAATCATTTTCCCACTCCTTTAACACAAGATACAAAGAAGCTTTCTAAGCTTACATGTCTTCTCTGTCAAAAGAAGTCTGACAGATTTTTAAATCAAAAGCTATTATTCTGTCTTATGATGAAAAGATTAATCAAGACTATTGCTTCCCATTAAGTGCAAAAGTGATTTCCTTACAAGCGGATCACTTCATGTTTAAACAAAAAATTCAAGTTAAAGTGGCTGTGAGCTCTTATGTCAGATAAACAGCTGTTTACCTAATTCTGTTAAAGCATATTTTAAAGTGTTCTGCATAGTATGTCAGGTTATACAGGCTGCTCTGGCATCATTACTTGAATAAATTTCTAAATTCTTGCTAGGATTAAGGCACTTTAACAGTCATTGCTGGATTACAGAAAGGAAACAGCAATCATATAGAACAAAGGAGCAGAACTAAAGAGTTTTAAAATCCCACATAAAAGTTATATCCCTTACTTTACCAGTTAGTAGGTCAGCAAGGGTTAGGTCCTATGTAACCAACCATCTGTGAGCTTATGTGAATAGCTCTGTAATCTAGACACAGGGGCAATACAAGAAGGGAGGGCTAATCCTGTTAAGGCATAGTGTTCAGTCTAAACCCAAGGACAACTCTGGTAATAATTACAGCTCTGATCATTTCTTTCTTCATCTCAACAGTCACATGTTACACCACTCATGGTTTATTATAGCACTGCTCTTCAGAATGCTCCATTGTGCCATGTGATTCATGCAAAACTTGAGTGAAAATTGCAAACAATAAAACTGCAAACAATCAGCTATATTCGAAACCATCATTCAGAGTGAATTATATTCAAAGAATCCAAACATGGAACTGGACTCATTCCTGCTGAGTGGGAAGATAAAATACAAAATCTTTTCTACCATCTCCAACTCTTTCATGGACATTCAAGATGAAGATACCATTTCAAAGTCTTTTTCTTTTCCAATCACCTTTGCTCAGTTCTTTTACATGTATCATACCACCCTCCATTCTTTTCAACCAAGAAGAACTTTCTGCATTCTGTGTGCAGCGACACTAGCTTCGTCCTCCGAGTCAGATTCACTCTGGGATGTGGAGCTGTGAGAAGCAGAACTGCAAGGGGAAGAACATTCTGGGGAACATAAGTAGTGCATCAGTGGGAGGCGATACTTCCCACAGAAGTCCACAAATTTAATTTGTCTGACACAGCAGTCAAAGTAGACTCCTAGAGAGAAGAAGGAATTAAGTACAAAATAATCATTACAAAGCAAAGAGCCATTTCTTTTTCAACCCCTTCTCCAATATTCTGAAAAATCATATACAGTCTCCTTTTCTGTGAATTTTAAGCAGAAGTAATAGTTGCTTCTATAGCTATTTACAGAAATACCAGAAGGCCTTAGGGATGACAATTTGGCTACAAAGAGAAGGCCAGATAAGATTTATCTTTAAGGGAGCTGGCATTAAAAGGATACAGTTAGCTTCTTTTCTCTGGGTGACTTGGTGAACAATGGCTGATGGAGAGATTATAGGATACCTGAAGTGTTCTTCCTCCACTCCCCAACCTATTCCTTGGTATTACCCTACCGGCAAGAAGCTTAAACCACCCCCTCCCCCCTACAAGGGACACCTGGGTGGCTCACTTGGTTAAGCAACTGCCTTGGGCTCAGGTCATGATCCCTGGGGAGTCTGCTTATTCCTCTCCTTCTGCACTTCCCCACGACTCATCCTCTCATGCTCTCTCTCTCTCTCTCAAATAAATAAATAAAATCTTAAAAACAAAAAAACAAAACTCCTTTAATAATGATCCTAAAAGATTTGTTGTCATACAAAAAATTTGCAGAGAAGAGACGACTTTTGATATTCTTGTTCTTACGTATTGGGAAGGGAAAATCTTACATTTCCACAGGTTCTAAATCTACAGGTTTCAGAGCTGTTTCATGAATGATCTCACTTGATTCTCACACAATTATATACTGTTAGGTAGACTGAAACACTATTCACCTTTTTCAATTCCTAATTTAGTGCCCCTGAGATGGGGCCCTTCAGCTAAGTAAAAATACATCTCGAGATGTGAGGAAAGCAGAGGATACTGTAGCTCAGGGTTCAGTATAACTGGAACACCTACAATTCTGGGTCCCATCACCCTTCTTCTTCTTCTTTTTTTTTTTTTTGTTTAAGATTTTATTTATTTATTTGACAGATAGAAATCACAAGTAGGCAGAGAGGCAGGCAGAGAGAGAGGAGGAAGCAGGCTCCCTGCTGAGCAGAGAGCCTGATGTGGGGCTTGATCCCAGGACTCTGGGATCATGACCTGAGCCAAAGGCAGAGGCTTTAACCCACTGAGCCACCCAGGCGCCCCATCCCATTACCCTTCTGCGGAGCAATCTCAACCTCTATGCTCTAAGACTACTCTGTGTATCACATAAGGCTCTAAACTAAGAAGATGTGGTTCAAGCAAAGGAGAAACAATGATTTCTACTTACCTTTTTTCCCCCATTAGCTTTCTAATTTTCTGATTGTGTAGTCAGTATAATTCATAGTTTAAAAAGGGGATTTCATGGTATGTTACTTTGAACAATTTAGGAACGTAAAGTAATAAAGTAACAGACTGGCCAACCAATATTGATAGTAAATCCCCCAAAATGTGTTAGCATCCTAAAAAAAGATGGAAGTAATAAAATAAAGCCTTAGAGAGTCACCATGAGCTAGAACAGCACAATATTGCCTTGTCATGTCTAGGCTCTCAGACTCTACAAAGACAAAAAAATCTCTCAAAATACAAATTTATTTTCGCTGGGGCACCCAGGTGACTCAATTGATTAAGATTTCGATTCTCCTTATGGCTCAGGTGGTGATCACAGGGGTAGTGAGATCAAACCCATGCCCCATGCCCCTCAGGCTCTGTGTTCGGTGGGAAGACTGCTTGAAGATTCTCTCCCTCTGCCCCCCACAACTCATGCACTCAAGCACATGTGCTCTCTAAAATAAATCAATCTTTAAAAAATTTTACTTTTCTTTAACTCAGTGTTCAATAGCTAATGAGTCTGAGAGCAGAAATGTCACTGGTCCAATTTCTGTATAATCTTGATTTTTAAACTAATAATTTTTAAAGTATATTTGTTTCTAAGATAAATCACATCAGTATACTAAAAAAAAGTCATTTAAAAAAGCATTTAAAAGAGAAAAGAGAATTCTTACAGAGGTCCATTTTTAGGAAAGGATATTTTCAAAGAACAGATTAGACATGTTATTATGCCCTAAGGCCTGGTGGGAATGCTGTCCCTCACCACTGTTAAAGCCAACTTGAGGGATGCCTGGGTGGCTCAGTCCAATAAGCTTCTGCTTTTGGCTCAGGTCACGATCCCAGAGTCCTGGGATTAAGTCCTGCATCGGCTCCCTTCTCCCCTTGCTTGTGCACATGCTCGCTCTTGCTCTCTGATAAATAAATCCTTAAAAAAAAAAAAGCCAACTTGGGAAAGGAGAGCTACAGAGAAAGCTAAGCACTTCTAATCTGGCATATCACAGCACCGCACCTTCTGCTTCTAAGAGTGAGTGGCCAGAAATGCCCAGAGGATCACCTTTTGTAAACCAAGAGTGTCTTTTTTATTTTTTAATATTCTTTGAGGAACTTAAATCATTTTCTCTCTTTTAACTTTCAAACAGTTTCAAGACATGATGGGACTTCCAGGGAAAAATCTCACTGGACTCTGATCATGATTATGCAGCATCTCCTCAGCACCTATATTTCTCCTACAATGGTAAAACCCTTCTGTACTCACATTTGATTAGATTTTTAAAAAGCAGTCTTTTATGAGAGACCCAAAATAAAATGACCTGCTATCAGTCACCAGCTCCCACCTACACACCCTGGCACTTCAGGCCTTTGTAACTGGGCCTCAACGTATCATCTACTTCTCTTTCATGTACTTCCCTAACTGTATAATATTTGAGCCAAATTATTACTCATCCAATATTGTGCCCTATACTATTTTGTCTCCAATTTTGCTCTCTCCAGCTGAAAAGTTTCCTATCCTCAATCTTATTTACCATATCAAAATACAACTCATCCTTCAAGAATGTACTCTCTCCCTCCTTTGATTTCCAGTAGTACTTTGAACTCCTATTTTACTCTGCCTTACAGTCTTTTATTTCTTTAATTCTCTCCAAATGCTATCAACTCAAGACATTTTTTTTAAAGATTTTGTCAGAGAGAGAGTGTGTGTGTGTGTGTGTGTGTGTGAGCTTGAGCACAAGCAGGGGGAGCAATAGGCAGAGTGAGAAGCAGGCAGAACCTTGGGATCATGACCTGAGCCAAACGAAGATGTTTAACCAACTGAGCCACCCACATGTCCCTAAATTCAAGAAATTGTGAATCATGGATGTATAAGAATATAAAAGTCCAAGGTATATTCCAAAATTGGCACATTTAACCAATTCTCCTACATTCTGAATTATAATCTATAAAGGTACCTGATACTCATAACAGTGGGTCTAGGAAAATGTCCTTCAAATAAATATGAAAGGTGGCTAAATATTTTGGAGGCTCTTTTTAAACTGTTATGACTGTTTATGTTTCCTTTGTGTTTCCTCTTATTTTACTAGCTTTCTCTATTATCTTGTGACAATTCCAAGATATGATGAGACTTTCTGGGTTCTTTCCTTTTGTATGAATTGTAAAATACTTTAAAAAAAAAAAAAAGGAAGGGAGAGGAGAGAAAAATGTCTTACTTTACTGGTAAAAAGGTGAAAGGGTGAGGGAAACAAAGAGGCTAAATGCCTTTCTCTGGAAGAAGATGACTAACTAAAAACACTTAGACTATCAATATAAAAAATAGCTAAATGAATGGGAAAGCTATACACTGAATTAACTTACCTCCACACTTTGGGTTCGGGCAATTGCTGGCTAAGCTCAAATATCTAAGAAGATTCTCGGGAAGATCATATGGAGTGTAGGAAATATTTCGAATTTTAATGGTCCGTGCAGCTAATTCCAGGAGAGTTGGAGGATCATAGGTTAAATCTCTAACAAAACGAACAACCAATGGATTTCCTCGCAAACTCAACTCTTCCAAATGAATAAGGTTGAGGATCTCTCGAGGCAGGTATGTCAGCAAGTTATTGTGAAGACTGAGGGAACGAAGCGAATGCAACCTACAATGAATGCAGTACAAAAATTAATGGCAGTGAGCAAACTAACTACTATGAAAGCTAAGCAAAGAACTTGATTTCCCAAGCAATTAAGGCCAACAGAAGTAAAATAGAGAGGAGCTGAAACTAGACCAGAGTTATAGACTTGTCAATATCATGAGATGACATTTGCCCATAGGATCTTACAGAATGTAGAATAATAATCAGTATTCTTATGTGCTAGGCTGATATAAATGCTAGATTTAAAGATTTTTTTAGCATGCTTTATCATTTGGATACCTACAAGAAAGATTTAAAATGCAACAGAAATCAAGAGCCTTCACATTATTTCATCAGGATAAAAATGTTTCATATCAAATATAAAATCAGTAAAATTGCATAAAACCTGGGGAAATCTATGCCAAATTACTCTATTTTTGATTAGAGAAAACAGGCTAAACAAATATATTGAGACATTAACTGGGGCACTTAAAAGTAATGTTAAAAATAAGCAACTCAACTCATAGCAAACCTCAGAACTGTAATTCTCATGTATTATTTACTTTGAGAATGCCTAAAATTACTCACTGTGAAAGCTGAGGAGGCACACTTTGGATTTTGTTGTCACATAATACCAAGTAACTTAGAGAAGGCAGATTTGCTAATTCTGGTGGGATTTCTCTGATAAAGTTTCCTCCGAGATATAAACATTCTAAACTGTAAAAATAAATGAAAACAAAAATGTAAACAAAAATTGGACAAGACATCCCAAGGTCTTTATTACAACCAACACATTTCATTTATTCATTCAGCAAATGCTTTATCTAGGATCTACTATATACTATACAGCCTCTAGAGAAATAATGCAATTTTCAGAGAGCTTATATTATAGGTAAGCAGGTAAGACATGCTATTATAATTAAACTCAAAACAAGGCCAAAAATAAGTATAACCTGATTAAAATATCAAAATAAGCAGAGCGATCCATAAATGATAGAGGAGTTTAAAAAAGCAGAGAAGAAAGAAAAGGACACAGTGCTTAGGACTGGCAAAAGCTTTGGAAAAGTGTTGTGACTTCAGATGGACCATGAGTTTGGCCCATGCAGATGGGAAGAAAGAAGGCACTTCAGGTTGGAGGGGAGGGCTTTTATGGGACAATGGACATATCTTTTAAACAGAAGAGCAGAGTTCCTGATGAAGAATCCAGAGAAAAAGCTGAAGGAAAGCCGGATTTTGTGCTGGTAGGCATGGATTTGATGCACTTTTTAGGCAATGGGAAAACCACTAACCTTTTTCTGAAAAGAATGGGAAAACACGGCTGAACTTTACATTTTTTCTTTGTTCTTATTATAGCAAAAGCATTCTTCGGGAGCTTTCTAAATTGTGTAAAACGACCACTATCATGAAATTAAAGTTCCAGATAGTTACCTTATTTTCCATCAAGTCACCAACATTTTAGACAGCATTCTTTTAAGCACAGCATTTAGACTAGCATTCTTTTAAGACACCTTTGAATGTGGGGAAAAAATAGCCCACTAAACTATTACCCAAACTTCCAGGATAAGAATTACCTGGGATACTTTTAAAGCTGCAAATTCCAGGCCCCATCCAGATTCACTAAATCAGATTTCCACGGTAAGATTTTTTAATATAAGGTTAAGAGAGTAAGGTTAAAAGGTAAAGCCAAGTTACTCTGCAGGGCTACAGCTAATTACAAATCCATAATTAGCAAATTAAGAGTGCTTCTTACCATATAATCCTGCCAACACTTATTATTGTTTGCTTTAAATTTTATTTACTTTTTTACTATTTTATTATGTGAAAAATGGAACCATTCTGTTCTTTTAATTTGCAGCTCTCTAGATATTAATGAATTCAGCATCTCTGTATATGTTTTTGGCCATTTGTGTATCTTTAGAGAATTGCCTGTTCCTATTCTTTACCCATTTTTCTCACAGGTTTATATGGTTTTCTGTTATTAATTTGTTGGGAGCTTTGTTGTTAAATATATGTTCCGCATAACTTTGTTCCTCTGTGACCTAGAGCATGGTCTATTTTTGTTCACATTTTGCATGTGTAAAATGAATGGGGAGCTACTAGTATTGAACTTATTAACTGTGCAACCCAAAATTTTTATAGCCTCTCTGATTATTTTGCCTCCTTGCTCTGATGGTTAGTCTTCTACCAGAACCGCAGTTTTCCTTCTTCCCTTTATAATTACCAAGTTTTGCTCTTTCCCCTTAAAATATAGAAGCTATAACACAAATAAATCTTTGCTGAACTGTTCCTTTATTCACATGAAGCATTTCTCTTTTATCCTTTTAATCCATTTGTCTTAATGGATTGCCTCTTGGTTTTATTTTTGTTTGTATTCATTTCATTTAAACCACCATTCACCAGTATAAGAACTTAAGCCAGTTACTTATTCTTGTTATGCCTGTTTCTTCCTCTTCAAAATGGAATAATATTATATATTAAACAAAGTGCCTAGTTAACAAATATGAACTAGGCATCTACCATGTGCCACGCACCATTCTAGGGAACACAGTATAAATAAGACCAAATTCTTGACCTTACAGTCTAGTGAGATAGATAATAAATCAGTGAATGTGCATGTATTATGTCTGAGGGCTTTAAGTACCTCCCTAAAAAGGGAGGTAATCAGATGGTAATGGAAGTGAAATTCTATGCAGGGTGGTTAGGAAAGGTTTCTTTTAGATGACATGTGAACAGAAATATGAACGAAATGAATGAATACAAATTCCCAAGATAGAAAATGCTTGGTGTGTTGCCATTTGTGGGTACATGAGGGTGGTAGAAGGGGGAGAGTGGTGGTCAGAGAGGTAGCATGGGCCTTTTGGGCCTCAGTAAGGATTTTGAATTTTATCCTAAGTAGGAAGGATTTTGAACAAAGTTGTGTAACTTTACTTACACTTTAGAAAGATCACTGTGTCTACTGTGTAGAAAGTAGATTAGTAAGTGGTGGGGAGCAGAAAGCACAATGGGAGGAGTTGAAGTTGGAGGACCAGACTGTAGCCTAATGAGGTAGTACAGATACGAAGTAATAGAGATTTCTTTGGTACATCTTTTTCTATCCTATTATTTTTAATTTATTGGGGTATTTCTATTTTAAGTGTAACTCTTATAAACAGGATGCCACTTGATTTTGATAAGTTTAGACCTGTGTTTTCTATTAACACAGTATACCTAAATACCTTTTTTCTCTTCTGCTCTATTGTCGTATTTCATTCAAGTTTCCCTTCTTCCCATTCTCCCTCTACTATTTTGAACTGTATATTGCTATTTCTGTCTTGCTAGTAGTTACCCTTTGAATTTGCTTTGCTCCCTCTCACTCCCAAACACACATCCATGCTCCTTTCTGTTCTTCTCTTCATACCATTTAGAATTAGATCTATCTTGATTTGAAAATAAATTTATTTCCAATTAGTAACTATTCAAATTCATCAATATGCTTTACCAATTTCTTTGTTCAGCATTGTTTTTGGAGCTTGTTATTTTATTTATAATTCCAAATTTTATTAAAATTAGTTCTCAGTATCACCTTACACCAGTTAGAATGGCCAAAATTAGCAAGACAGGAAACAACATGTGTTGGAGAGGATGTGGAGAAAGGGGAACCCTCTTACACTGTTGGTGGGAATGCAAGTTGGTGCAGCCACTTTGGAAAACAGTGTGGAGATTCCTCAAGAAATTAAAAATAGAGCTTCCCTCTGACCCTGCCATTGCACTACTGGGTATTTACCCCAAAGATACAGATGTAGTGAAAAGAAGGGGCATCTGTACCCCAATGTTTATAGCAGCAATGGCCAGGGTCGCCAAACTGTGGAAAGAACCAAGATGTCCTCCAACGGATGAATGGATAAGGAAGATGTGGTCCATATACACTATGGAGTATTATGCCTCCATCAGAAAGGATGAATACCCAACTTTTGTAGCAAGTTGGAAGAGATTATGCTGAGTGAAATAAGTCAAGCAGAGAGAGTCAATTATCATATGGTTTCACTTATTTGTGGAGCATAACAAATAGCATGGAGGACAAGGGGAGATGGAGAGGAGAAGGGAGTTGAGGGAAATTGGAAGGGGAAGTGAACCATGAGAGACTATGGACTCTGAAAAACAATCTGAGGGTTTTGAAGGGGCGGCGGGGGGGGAAGGTTGGGGGAACCAGGTGGTGGGCATTAGGGAGAGCACAGATTGCATGGAGCACTGGGTGTGGTGCAAAAACAATGAATACTGTTACGCTGAAAAGAAATAAAAAAAAAAAAATTCGTTCTCGGGGAGCCTGAGTGGCTCAGTCGGTTAAGCGTCTGTCTTCAGCTCAGGTCATGTTCCTAGGATACTAGGCTCGAGCCCCGAGTCAGGCTACCTGCTCAGTGGAGAACCTGTTTCTGCCTCTCCTCTCAGCTCATCCTCTCTCTATCTCTGTGTCTCTCGCTCTCTCTCTCTCTCTCTCTCAAAAAAAGGAAAAAAAGTTAGCTTAGAGTCTCAGAGCACCTGGGTGGCTCAGTGGGTTAAAGCCTCTGCCTTCAGCTCAGGTCATGATCCCAGGGTCTTGGGATCAAGCCCCACATCAGGCTCTCTGCTCAGCGGGGCACCTGCTTCCTCCTCTCTCTCTGCCTGCCTCTCTGTCTACTTGTGATCTCTCTCTGTCAAATAAATAAATTAAAAAAAAAATCTTAAAAAAAAAATTAGTTCTCATACCCAAAAATAGGTTGGCTCTAGATAAGCTTGTTTTCAAGCTGTGAGGTACAAACCTGCTATGCTAGTAAAGACCTTGCTATTTTTTGGGGCGCCTGGGTGGCTCGGTGGGTTAGAGCCTCTGCTTTCGGCTCAGGTCGTGATCCCAGCGTCCTGGGATCGAGCCCCGCATCGGGCTCTCTGCTCAGCGGGGAGCCTGCTTCCCGTCTCTCTCTGTCTACCTATGATCTCTCTCTGTCAAATAAATAAGTAAAATCTTTAAAAAAAAAAAAAAAGACCTTGCTATTTCTTTTAAAGTCCATTTTTCTTAGAGTATATATTTAACAAGTTTTTCCGTAAGGACCACAGTTGTTAATCTTTGAATTCTTTGTCTTTTATGTTTTTATCTCTTTCCTTCACTGTTGAGTAACAGCTTGGCTAGGCATAAAATTCTAGGTTGACATTACTTTTCCTTAGCACTAAGAAGATATTATTCCATTATCTTACTAGAGCCAGTATTACTATTGTTCCTCTGTAGGTAATCAGTTTTTTTCTCATTAGGAGCCATTAGGGCCTTTTTTCTCTATTGTTCTAAAGTTTTACTGAATGCTGCAAGATAGCAGTTTAGAGTGCTCTTTCTTTAATAGTGGGGAATTGTTAGCTACTATTACATCAAACATAGCCTTTCCTACATTTTCTCTATTCTCTTTCTACAATTCTTACTAAACAGCAGCTTGAATTTCAGGATCAATTTTACATGAAAGAAACATTCCTTTCATACTCTCCATTTCTTTTCTCTTCTTTTTTCTTTTTTTTTTTTAAGATTTTATTTATTTATTTGTGAGAAAGATAGAAAGTGAGGGAGAGAGTGAGAGAGAGAGAGAGAGCATACAAGCAGGGAAGGGGCAGAGGGAGAAGGAGAAGCAGACTCCCAGCTGAGCAGGGAGCCTGACACAGTAGGACTCGATCCCAGGACTCTGGGATTACGACTTAAGCCACCCAGGCACCCTTTACTCTCCATTTTTTAATTTATTTTGTGTGTGTGTGCTGCATTCCAGGAGAATGCCTCAGTAAGATCTTTTAGCTTAATGATTCATTCATCAGCTGACTTCAGTATACTATTTGGCACACTGAGTTCACAATTACCTTTTTTTTCATTTCTAGGAATTCTAACTGGGGTTTTCATAATTGTTGGTTTTTAACTTTCTTATTCTTGTTTCATTGATGAAGTTCCTACCTTCACCTCTCTGAAGTTAGAAACCATACTTACTTCAAAGTCCTTTAGAGTAACTTAGATGCATTTTCTTAGACACAATTTCTTTCATTTGTCGAATTTCTATCTGTCTTTCATAATCTCAGACTTCCTTGATATGTAGTGATTTTAAAAAGCTAACTTGAATCTTAAGTTTTGTCAATTTAAAGATATATTCATACTTTTTCCTATTTCTGATTGTGCAAATCTTTCCAAGATTGCATCTCTCTTTTGAATTATAATGCTTAGTATAAGTAAGCAGACAACTTTAATTCTGATATGTTATTTTTTTCTCTTTTGAAGATTATCTGGTAGAAAGAATCAACTGTGTGAATATAAGAATGAATTCTCCTAAACGTAAATGTCTGAATGCTGGTTAGAAAAACAAAACAAAACAAAACAAACAAAAAACCACAAAAAGTTCCTGGGCAGGATTATTTGATTTACCAAATATGGTGTAAGTTAATGCTTGATTACTCAGAAATCTCTCTTTTTCTGAGGGGAGCTACTAGAATAGAATAGAATAGAATAGAAAGAACATTTGGAATCCAAATCACAGAAATTATCCCAGAAAAGGAACGATTTTAATGAGAAGACTATCTGGGGAAAAATTTAGCAATCCTGAAAGTCCTTTTATAAAGAATTTAATAGTCAAATAAAGAACAATTTGCAACAGAGTCTAATGATGGAGAAAAGAAAATAAGGTGAAGAAAGGGAAAAGTGAGTCAGAACAAATTTAAATCTTGTCCTTTCTATTTAAGTCAAGAATTGAGAGAAATTAGCGTCTGGTTGTTAGTTATGACTCAATGTCTGCTCCTATCAATGCTTTGGAGTGTACACAGAAAGAAAGGATGCCAAACTTTAGTAGTTACTGTAACTTTATCAGAAAAATATCTGATGTTCTAAAATAACTAAGCCCACTATTTCAAAATCATATAAATTCTCTGTGGTTATCATTAATCAGAGTACACAACCAGCATATTAAATTTATACTTTCAGACCTATTTCTCACTTTGAAACTCAAATAATTTCTGAGGTTCTATGGACTTGAAGCCTTTCAGTTATTTGGGCAAATTAAACTTCCAAGACACATTCTACTGTTTCCAGAAATGCTTTTGAAAGGAGAAAAGAAACTACTGTTGAATTTTAAGCAAAACTGTAGTGTTTAAAAGTTCTTGTGGTATATTTCTGTCAACATTGCACTTCTGTTCATCGAGCTTGGAACAAGTCTACTTTTTAGTGTTTGATGAATATCAAAACAGAAAAGTCATTTACAGAATTTATAAAATTCTTCCCTTCCTTTCTGTTTAGCATTAATCCACCAATGTTAAATTTGTTTCTTGGAAAGGTATCTTGATTCTCCAATCCTTAGGGATACTGAAGTGGGTGCCCTTTTTCTGTCAAGGCCAATGACCCACTAAAAAAACAGATGAGGCCCTTAGTGCCAATAACTTTAACCACAGGTGTAAGTAGAAAATATTTTGCTCCCCCACCCAAATAAAAATGACATTAAGAGGGGTGCCTGGGTGGCTTAGCCGGTTAAGCATCTGCCTTCAGCTCAGGTAATAATCAGGGTTCTGGGATCCAGCCCCAAATCGGACTCCTTGCTCAGTGGGGAGCCTGTTTCTCCCTCTCCCTGTCTGCTGCTTCCCCTGCTTATGCTCTCTCTTGCTTGTTATCTCTCCTCTGTCAAATAAATAAATCTTAAAAAAAAATGACATTAACAAAAATATAAATTCGTTCTACATTACGGTTGGTTAAAGGGAGATGGAATTCCAGTGAGACAGCTTTGTAAAAGAAGGCAGGACATAGGAAGAGAAACACAGAAAGATAAGAACCATACATCTGTGGATAAAGAAAGTAGTTTTCTTGAGGGAGCATCCCTATATCGAATCATTTTTAAATATTATCACTCACCACAAGCTTTTAAAGTACATGAACCACATGAATCTCATTGTCACTATCTGGCTTCAAGCAAGTGACTGATACTAAATCTCAGTGTCTTCATCTGTTAAAAAGGGCTGGTGGGCGGAGGCGGGGAAGTGAATCAGGCCATTGCCCAGGTTGTTTCTACTTTTCTAAGATTGTGTTTTTACTTCTAAAATTTTATTTCTACACGACCCTTTTAGCCTACAGTCAACTAGAATTTAAATTTGGAACATGGCCTAAACCTTTACTGATTCTTATCAGTAAAGAGAAATGGAGCATAAAACTGAAAAATGAAAAACACTGACAAAAAGATCCCATACACAACTGGAGCCGAAGATACAATGACCAAAAAGCATAGTTAATTAGCTAGAAAATCAGGTCAACCAACCATGTAAACAGTTTTGACCAGTCCTCCTGATTGCATATGTAACAGAAGTCAGAAGGATTAGGTTCTAGCCCCAATCTGTCACCATAGAAAATTCTTGGTTTTGGACTCAGAGATCCCGAGATCAAATCCAGTTCTACCACTCATTGGCTTTGGATTCTTATAACTTAACCTCCCAAAGCCTCAGTTTCTTCTCATCTCACCAAGGCACTGTGAGAATTAAAAAGGATATTTAGAGCCTCTACTGCAGGGCCTACAGCATTGTAAGCACTCAATAAATAGGATTTTTGCTTACCTTTCCCCCCATGTGATGGAAATAAGTGCTCTAGGTATTTCTTAGTATGTTAAGAAGACTCAAATGAGAAGGTTGGAATTATGTAACTTCAAAATTAGGAGGAACCAAGGACTGTCAATTTTATGTCTAAATCTCTGTCCAAGTTTTCTATATTTCTTAATATCTTTCCTAGTATCACCCAGGTGTAAATGACCATCATCTCTCATGCTATTAGAATGACCTCCTTCTAAGCAGCCCTCAAAATCTCTTTTCATCTCTCCACCCTCTCCACACTCCATTGCTGCACAGCAAAAAGGCTGATGTGCTTAAAACTTTCCCATGTGTACTTAGAATAAAATCCAAACTTTACCATGGCCTTCAAGATCCAACATGGCCTGGGACTGGTCCAAGTTTCTGTTTGCCAACTTTCACTCTTGGCCACTTTTTCACTATGCTGTAGTACAATGTCCTCCTTTCAAAATGTTGGCCTTCAGTTCCCCTTGCTTTCCGGCATTTACACACACTGTTCCTTTTACCTAGACTGAACCCACCCCACCATCTCCTAGTTAATTCTTATTCTTCCCTCAAAATTCTCAATTCTCCATTCTCAATTCAAATGTTACCTGTTCAAGGACCAAAGTCAGGTCCCTCTGTTATTTCAAGGCACTCCACTTGTCTTCATAGAACTTACAAAAACTGTATTTAAAAATGAGGTTTATAATTCATTGTTTAATGTCTCCAATTAGTATGTTAACTCCAGGAGAACAGGACCATGTTCACCACTGTATCCCCAGTACCTAGGACAGTGCCTGACACATGGTTAAGTACTTCATAAATATCTGCTGATGAGTCAATGGACATCTTGTCCTAATGCCTTATTTTTCAGATTAGGAAGCTGTGGTCAGGATATGTTAAGTGACCTGCCTAAGGGTGGGACACCAAGAGTTCTTATTCTTAGGCCAATGTTCTTTTCACTATACTTATCTCTTTCTAGTTCTAATATTCTGTTATCTCAGAAAACTCAATAAAGGATGTGGAAATATTTTACAGATGACAAACATTGTGGGTTTTTTTTTTTTCCACTTTGGACAATATACTTAATCTTGCTCTATATCTCACACCTTGAAGAGCACTTTTAGAAAACTTTTGCTATCCCGCTTCTCTGCTTCCTCCTTCCATTTAATTCAATATCTGTTTATTTACTGAATAATCTGGTGAGGCAGACCTCTGAACAAGGAATTATAATCAATAAGGTAAATGCAATGGTGGGATGAATGAGGTACACAGGAAGTGCAGTTCAGCTAATAACCGTCCAGGAACCAGTAAAGGAAGAAAACAGACAACCCTGGAAGTAGGTTCTGAAGGATGAACAGGAGTTCGTCAGGTGAAGGCAACATTCCAGGCAAAGGGAACTGCACTTGTACAGAGGCCCTGCATCCATTCGCCGCGTATTTAGTAAGTGCCCCTATGGTGCTGGTAAACTGCATGGCTCACTGAATTTCACAAACAGTGCTAGAATTGCTACAGGAAAAGGATAGCAGAAAATGGAGCGGGAAGCAGGGGTTTGGTCAGAGTATCTTGTCTGTCATGCTAAAAGGCATGGAAAAACCACCACAGACGCCAGAGCAGGGAAGTGACCACCTCAGACTGACATTTGTTTGAGTACCTACTCAGTTGGGATCACTCCCCCCGCCAACATCCCCCGGAACCCAAGAAAAAAGAAAAACTGCCTCGAAAATCTGCTTAGGGAAAACACAATCCCAAACGCTGTCTCACACGCGATCTTACAGGATCTTCACTTAAAACTCACTGAGATGGCGGGGCAGTGACCACTGCCAAAGAATTAAAGAGCGAGCCTGGAAGCAGGCGGTTGGTTACGTGACAAATGACCGGCGCCCAGACCAGGCCTAGGGCTCCGGCGCTCCTGGACGCCGCCCCGGGCTTCCCTACTCTGGGCCAGGGCCCCGCTCACCTCTGCAAGTTCTCGATCTCGGCCGGGATGCTCTGCAGCTGATTGCCACCCAGGCTGAGGGTCTGCAGCGCGCGGAGCTCCAGCAACGACGCGGGCACCTCCTGGAAGCAGTTCCCGCTGAGGTTGAGCATCTGGAGGCTGCGGCAGAGCGGCGACTGGGCCAGGCCCTTGGGCAGCGCGCCGGGCCCGCCGAGCCGGTTGTTCCTGGCCAGCAGCGTGCGCAGGCCGCTCAGCGCGAGCAGCTCCGGCCCGAGCGCGGTCAACGCGTTGCCGCTCACGTCCAACAGCTGGAGGTGCTGGAAGCCGCTGCTCAGCGCCCGCGGCAGCGACACCAGACGGTTATGAGGCAGCAGCAGCCGGAGCAGCGCCTCACGGGCGCCGCGCCGCTCCTCGCCCCGCGCCTCCAGCTCCAACTCCACAGTCTCCGGGGACATGCTGAGGCGGGACAAGTTCAATTCGGCCTCCCCCGCCGTGGCCACCGCCGCTCCGGCCTCCTCCATCCCGGCCGCCGCGGGGCCCCTGGCCCCGGAACCGAAGGGCTTCGCGCGCAATCCACAGGCCAGGAGCTCCGCGGCGCCCCGGAACTTGAACCGAGGGCTGCGTCGGAAGTGGCGCGGGCGGGCGCTAACCCCGCGGGCCCCAGCCGAGTCACGCGACGCTAGGCGGCAGGGTGCGCGCGCCGCTTGGCTGGGGGAGGCGGCTGTGTTTCGCGTGGCGCGCGGCGCTGAGAAGGGGTGCCGGCGGGGGCAGAGGCCGGGTGGCCGCGCGCTTGTCCTTTGAACCCCGGGGGGTTTGAACAGCCGCGGTTTATAGTCCCTGGAGTCTGGTTGACGTGTCCCTAGAGGGCACGACTGCCTCGGTAAACAGCCCAAGGACTGTTTGCTTATCTGGCCTTGAGGGTTTGCGCGTCAATGTGCACCGCCCCCTTGGTTCCCAGTTTAGGAGTGGGGCCCCTACTCTGCAGGATTCTGTGAGAACACAGGAATTTAGTGGTGAGTCAGCTTCATTACAGCAAGCCCCAGCAATTTAGAGGCGCGGGATTAACCGAGAGGGCTTCAAAGTACAAAGACAGCTGAACTAGAAATCAGAACCTCTGGATCCTACCTCGGGTTCTGCTATTAAATAAGCCTTGTGTCCTTGGACAAAGAATTTGATTTGTTTCTCCATCCGTAGAGTATGGAGAGTAACCTGTCCTGTTTGCCCTGCAGGGTTAGTTTCTTTTTTAAACACGATAAAAGTAAGGTATACCAAGTAAGGGCGTTTCTACATTTTAGCTATAGAAGGATTTCTGTGGTTTTGGGGTTAAGTTGTGGCTAGAAATGAATTTGGGAGCGATGGAAGAGGTTAGATAGCTCAAATTGATCAGTTTAAGAACCAAGGAAGCAGTGAGATTTTCCTGCAGATTAAAACTACAATTAGTTGGCAAAATCCCGACTCTGGCTTTAATTTGTACTTCTAATTAACGTATCTGGCCTAAACTCGGTCTTTTCTGAAATTCCTTTTTATAATTTTGGAAAGTGATGAGTAGAACCGAGAAAAGTACTTAGCAAAGTTTTTACAAACCTTATGCGTATAAATGTTCAAAGATTGTATAAAGTCAATGACATTAAGTTGCCTTCCTCCTAAAAAGAAGAATAAAGTAACTTTTTTCTTGCCACTCATTTGTGTGAGAAACTTACACCTCTTACCTCCTGCCAAATTTTAATTTCTGCCTGAGTTACAGTAAGCAGGAGGATGTACTTTGTCAGTTTAAATCAGAAATAGAATGTTTTTAAAGACTGTTTTAAGGCCAGAAATAGAATGTTTTAAAACCTGTTTCAAAAGGGTACTCTTAAAAATTAGACTTTGTCTTGGATCAAGATCACATATTGGCAAGAACCCTCATATGTGAAAAGTGCAAATACTCAATACAGTTTTATGTGCTATGTGTCTGTGACAAGAATTTAACATGAGAAAAAAATGATTTGAATGTGATTCAGAAATAGTTAAGATTACAAATCAGTGAAATGAAGGGGGGAGATGGAAATAGCCTCAAGTAGTAGAGAATGAAGTTGCCTGAAAGAAAGTCTTGAAGCAATGTTCAGATTAATGTGAGAATCCCCTTTTTCTCATTATAATAAGCCCTATCTCAGCTACCATGGTTGCATCTCTCTTCCCAGCAGCCAGATAAGTCTAAACTCGGCAGTGGGCCTTGAAACTATTCAGGCAGCCTGTTGAGTTCTGAAAACCCTGTGGGAGGTGAAGGAGCATGGATGGCTTCTTGTCCTTCACAGTGATGTGAAGACAGCTAGTCTTGCATCCAGCTGAAGGAGGTGTCAGAGACGCAGTGGGGGTACTGGAGAGTGTGAAGGGCAGAGGAGACAGCATAATGCATCATCTAGGGAGAGGGATATGAATTTCAAGAAATTGTGAGAGTATATGGCATATTGGTCCACTTATCAAAACTTAACCACCAACACTGAAAATAAATTAAAACAACAACAACAACAACAACAAAAACTTAACCATCAAATGACTCTTGGATCAAACGGACTATATTTCAGGATAAGTCTGATTAGGATGTTATCGGAAAAAGAAGGGACATCAAATGAAGGGCACTTCCTCCTTCAGCCATCCTGTCTGCATTTCCTGGGGGCAGGAACTCTGTCTATTTACCAGGGCACCCCTCCCTGAGACATATAGTATGTGCTCAATAAATAGTGAGTAAATGAAATAAATGCACGAATAGGTTTGGGCACACCTGATTAAGATGGCCTTATTGCCCAACTGACTGCGGAAAAAAAACAGGAAATAAGCTAAGTGGAGAATCCTTTCCTAAATGCAGCTAGCTGGTTTCAGAGCCTACCTCTGGACATCAGATTTCTCTTATTAAATCCTGATTTTGTTACTTAATCTCCTTAAGCTTTGATTATGAAGACTATTGTCTGTTTCTAGAGTCATTACAAGGCTATATCTAAACTGCTTACCATAGTACATAGTTCGAAGTAAATACTCCATGAGTAGTGACGATTATTATTATTATTAACAGTAATAACAATAGTTGTTATAACTATTACTCTCTCACACTTGTTTTATCATGATCAGGTAAAGAGAAAGTTGAGAACAGGCTTCAGTCACGATGGCACCATTTCCTGCATAAACTGTGGTTTTCTGCCTGGGTCATGCCGTCTTTTAGGGATTACAATTTGAGAGGTTGGTCTGAACTCTCCTTGCCCCCGAGTTTTAGCTCCCCAAATGTATGCTTATTGTCCTGTCCCCTAGTTATATCAAGACACCAGGCCTCCTAAACTGGATATCTACCTTCATTCTAGCTACCTCTGGATTCCAATAGGCACTCTGAAGCACTGCTTTCATTATTTCAATCCATCTCTCCCCCTCCTCCCCTGACTCCAAGTCTCCTCATTAGTTGTCAGATAAGGGTCAGTTGCTTTGAGTTCTTCCCATTGTGGAATCCCTCTCAGTTTGGTTTATCCAATTTGGCCTGGATGGCTTAAAATTCTGCCATCTTCCTACCAACTGTAGCCCAGATCTCAAAAAGTTAGTTACTCTCTCTTTAAAGCAGCATTGAAAGAAGAGGGAGCCATAGTCTTTAAATCCATCATGAGGAGACAATGGCCTCTATATTTACAGGGGCCCAGAGTGAGTTTGCAGCCAGTTTTGTTGGTCTACAGTTTGGCTATCCTTAGCAGTTTCTTTCTCTGCCATAGTGTATTCTTGTTGGAGAATTGATAGATTACAATGCTTTCCTGAGTATCTTTCCCCAAACTAGTCTTTTTTATTGAAATTTTTTGAAGATTCAAATAATGACATGGCATTTTTGGATCTAGATGTCTTTGCCTAAGCATTTGTTAGAGCTATAAAAGCATCCTGATGATTACTGTCATCGAGGTCATGCCATTTAGGGGTTTTTCTCATACCTGAGAAGATATTTTCCTCCGTGACTGTTTTGGGAATTTCAGTGGCTATGTATCCTTCTAATTTTATCCACTTGCTCAGCATATGTTCCATAATTGGGTTGTTTTACCTTTTGATAAATAGCTAGTGATAGCAACAACTACAAACAAAGTACATCTAGTCCAAGTTTATTCATTTTCAAATACTCATGGAGGACCTCTTGTGTGTAAAAACTGTTAACCCTATGTTGGAAATGTATTGAGATAACTAATAATAATGACTAACATTTATTGGTTGTTTTCTGAGTGCCAGGCACTGTCCTAAGGGCTTTGTAGTCATTATTTTATTTAATCCTTATACTCATTCTATAAGGTTGGTATTATTACTCCTGTTTTACAGATAAGAAAACTGAACTGTGGAAAAATTAAGTAGCTTGCCAAGTCACATAGTTCTGATGGGGCTGGATAACCAAATAGTGGAATATGACTCCAAAGTTTATGATTTTGTCCAAATACAATAAATGCCTTTAAAATACTTAAAGTAACAGAAATTAAACAGCAACCCATAATAAAACAAATAATCCAATTTAAAAATGGGCAAAGGATCTGATAGACATTTCTTCAAAGAAGATGTACAAACAGCCAATAAATTCATGAAAAGATGCTCAATATGATTAACAAATGCAAATCAAAACTACGAAGAGATACCTTTCACACCCACTAGGATGTCTAAAACCAAAAAATAATGTATCTGAGTGAGGATGTAGAGAAATTGGAACCCTCCTGCACTGCTGCTAGAGATATAATATGGTGTAATTACTCTGGAAACCAGGTTGGTATTTCCTCAAAAGGTTAATTAAAAAAAAAAAAAAAAAGAATTACCATGTAACCCAGAAGTTCCACTCATAGGTATAGATCCAAGAGAACTGAAAACATGTTCACAAAAAAATTTATACAGAAATGTTCATGGTGGCATTATTTATCATAGCCAAAACATGGAAACAACCCAAAGTTGTATCAACTGATAAACTGACAAAATGTGGTTATCCATACAATGGAATTTTACTTGGCAATAAAAATGAAGTGCTCACACGTGTTGCAGAATGAATAAATTTTGAAAACCTTATGAGAACACGTAAGTGAAAAAAACCAGTCACAAAAGACCATATAATGTGTCATTCCATTTATAGGAAATGTCCAAAATAGGCAAATCTGTAAAAACAGAAAATAGATTAATAGCTGCCAGGGGCTGAGGGAGGAGGGAATGAAGAGTGACTGGTTGACACAGAGCTTCTTTTCAGGGTGATGAAAATGTTCTAAAGTTGAGTGTGATGCTGGTTGTACAACTTGTGAATATACTAAAAAACCATGGAATTATGTATGCTTTAGGTAAACAAATTGTATGGTATATGAATTTTATCTCAATAAAACTCTTATAAATCTAAAGTTACTGAAATAGAAAGTAGCATTTGGTAGCTGGCATACAGATGCATAACCAAATACTATGAAAATTCAGAGTAAAGGCAACTTTCCAGGCTGCTGCAATTAGAAAGCTTTTGATAGAAATAGGATGAGACATATGGAATTGGAGGAAAGGAAAAGAAGGTATTTCTTGAGAAAGAATGACAAAAACAAGAAGGAAATGACAGCCTGTGTCTGGGAAGGGGTAAAATGTCTGGTTTGGCCCATGTGCTTTGTGCCAGTGGTTACATTAGCCAAATGTTGCCACACTTTGGAGAATAATGAAAGTATTTAAAATTGTGACTTTGCCCCCCAAATCTAGAGTGTGCTCTTATGATATGGTGTAAAGGAAGAGTGAAGCTTGAAATGACAAATTGGTCTAGATCATGGTGGGAGAGGTATGAATACAGGTGAGGAGACCATCTCTGATTCT